GATGTTAGGGAGGAAGAGAGGGGAAAAAGACCAGATGACGAGAGTGTGTGATTTGGTAAATAAATAAAGGGGGAGGGAAGGCTAGGAGCGCTCGTCGGCGGGCAATATTATACGTGGGCTAGAGAGAGGAAGGACAGGGAGGCAGACGCACAGGGGTTGGGTGTCTGCCAAAGGCTGATGTTACGACTTCACTTGCCTCTCAACCTCTCAATTCTCAACCTTCTTTTCTCTCTCTATTTTTCATTCCTTTTGCTTTTGGGGGATTGGTTAGTGTTGTGTAGGGGGGACTACTCAGAGCATTTCCAAGCGAGTATGTAAAAAAAAGTATGCAAAACTATCACAATTATTTATCTCATAAAAAAAGTTGGTCATTCTGATGAACTAAATAATGTAATTATATTTTCTCCTTCATAAAGGACTCACTAATATAGTGATTTGAGAAGGACTCACTAATATAGTGATTTGAGAAGGACTCACTAATATAGTGATTTGAAGCAATTGCTCTCTAGAAAGGTATTGAGTTGGAGTTATAGTATTCATGTAGTGTGTGAGTTTAATATATTATCGTTCCTTTTAATAAGAAAAATCTTAAAAAATAATAATGAAATTATACAAACCATTATTATAATTCTCTGTAAAAGAAAAAAAAAATTATAATATTTACTTTTATCGTGTACATTTATTTTTATCTTTTATAAAAAGTAAGTGAGATATATGAGATGATATTTTATTATAAAAATGTAAGTGGAGTTCAATATACCTATTCATTTGAAAGTAAAAAATAATAATCATATTAAAGAGAGTGTATATTTTGCATATTGGGATGCCTACTTCCTTGGAAATGCTCTCAACGGAGAAAACACTTCAGTAGTACGCTCGTGTTTCTCATAACGTGGTTAAGACACTCAGATGTATCATGTATATATATACGTTGTGAGATGTTATTGGAACACAAAGTTATGCTCTGGACTGGAACAGCTGAATTTTTCTTCTTTCACATGAAAATGAGACCCACATATCTTTGTATATATGTGATTCTCGCTATCCTGTGAAAAATCACTCAGGAAATGGCAAAGAGAGTAGGAAATTTCGGGTGCATCGACGATGCCGTCGTCACTAGACTCTACCATGTGAGGATGGGGTCCCCCCTCATATTTGTTTTTCTTCTTTATTCCTCACATAAGCACTTTTCAGTTTTTTAAGTGCTCTTTTTCTCTCATTTTCTTCTTGGATTTTTCCATTTTTAAAATACTCTTAAAAATAAAAAGATTAAAATAACCTTTAAAATGGATGGAAAATTGGATGATGTTAAAGTTAGATGACAAATTATGGATTTTGAAAAATTAAGGTGATATTTCTCTTTAAAAAAATTTAAGGTGAAAAATCCATATAGTATATTATATTGCGTTAAATGGCATTTTAAATACGTTTTATGTGTTTAATTTAGGGAGTTGATTTTCTCACTCCCATCCCTTTTGCCTTTTAATACTTTTTAATCAATTTTTTTTCTTTTTTGTTCTTTCTCTTTCCTATTCTATCCTTACCCTACATTAATTTTTCTTTTTTACTTCACTTTTATATTATTTCTTTTTACTGAACATTATCTTTGATATGGATGAGATTGCTGAAAATTCAAAATTTGTAATGTCAATGTAATGGTATTGATAATAACCGAAAATTGATATTTTGTCTATGATAAGTGAAGAAGATATGATGACTGGTTATTAGGACAAAAAAAAAATTAGTGTAAAAAAATTAAGTATAAAGAAAAAGAAATAATATAAAAGTGAAGTAAAAAGAAATTAATGTAGGGTAAAAGTAGAATAGAAAATAGATAGAAAATAAACAAAATTGATTAAAAAGTATTATAAAGCAAAAGGAGTGTAAGTGGAAAAAATGGAAGTGGGAAAATCAACTCCCTTAATTTATTGTTCTTTCCTTTGCTTCATTATGTTGCGTTGCTTGCTATTTAAACAAACGACATCGGCATAAAGATAAACTGCATATACATTTTAAAAGTTAGCTTGATTAACTAATTATGATTTTCATAATTTCATCAAAGCGATCCCATTTTAATTAGCAAATTTTTAAAAAAAAAGTAATGAGGGAATTCTTTACTATCTTAAGAGCATCCACAGTGGGAGGGTGTATAAGGGGGTGTATGTTAAATATACACCCGTTGTGATCGAAATCACCCGCAATGGAGGGGTGTATATGAATGTATAATTAAATCACCACCTTGAGATGTATATTTATATGCAATTGTACATCTTGGAGCAAAAAGCGTATTTACACCCCCCGGAGGTGTAAGAGCAAGTCCACCCATAAAGGCTAAGACAAGGGCTGGCACTATTCATGTAAATAGTGGCAGCCTTGCATTTTTTGGTTCCACCCCAAAAGGCTAGGGCAAGGGCAAATACTATTCACATGAGATATGATGAGATAAATTTGTATAGAGTTTTTGGTATGGGAAGTAAAGAATATGCCTAGATATTTATTTTTTAAAATTTTGGATTTTTTTTCCTTTTTTTTTTCAAATTTTTTTGGTTGCTGACGTCATTATGACGTCAGCATTGCATCATTCTACCCAGGCAGCAGCTCGGGTTGAATTTGCCCGTTGGCTTACCTAGGCTCGTGGGACCCAGCTCTTGCCAGGGCAGGACCTTGCGCGCTGGAGGCGTTTTGGGCTAGCCTGAGGGGCCTTTAGCCCGGTTTGGTAGCAAGGCTGGACTTGTTCTAAAGGGGATGTAAAAGTGGTTTTACACCCCCAAAAATACACCCCACTGTTGATGCTCTAATAAGTAATACTACGTACTAAGCCCCCCATATTCATATGCATTGTGGAGCTAGCTACGTACCAATATATCCAAAACCCCAAGTACAAGTATATGGATACGTAATCTTTTGGAGCAAATTTTAGTGGAGGATTGAGTCATGTGCTCAAACAATTTCTCTAGTCTCTAGATATACATATGCATGCATCAACATCCATCGCCCTATTGTGTACACGACAATGCATATGGGTTATTAAGCAAAGAGAGAAAAGGGTTACAAACCCTCTGCATAATTTGCTCACGGTTTAGATCGATATACAGATGCAGCATTATGCATGCGTTCTTTCAACATAAAAACCAATCAAACTCCTAATAATTCTTGCACGCATTCTCTACCAGCTTACTACTTACCATTAACATCATCAATTATCCATCTCCGTCGTGTTTGGTCGTCGTTGCTACCATAATTATATATAGTTAGTTGTAAATTAAACACAAATCAACAAGACCTAGTCGTCAATTGATGTCATCCCAAGCAAGCAAGCAAACATGCATGTTCTTCCATGTATTTCTCATTGTCATAAATATATACTCAATATTTGGTTTTCTTTTTTACTTCTTAGCTTTCCTTTTTTTTTTTCTTTTTTGATTGCTGGTTTTTGAGCATCGTATGCAAAACTCAGCCGCTTCATCTTGGGTATATAATTATCAAATGAATTGCGTAATGGGTATATAATTATCAAAACTCAGCCCCTGCATATATTTCACTCGTTGACCACTGGTTCGTGAGGTAAGCCAGGCTCTACTTCATAATTTTTTCCCCCTTTTTGGTTGTTGGTGTTAGAGCCATCGCACAAGAAGCTTTTAAACGATTAATTTGCTATACTTATATACTCATTATGCAATTCATTTGGTTTCAATACTTTTTTTCAGAAAAAGAGAAGGAAGAAGGTTGATCACTGAAGCATACCTCCAGCATTTTGGTTCATTGGAAGTTAATTCCCATCCTGCCTTTTAAATTGATCATATTTTCAAGCTATGTCTCTGGACACTTGGCTACAAAGGCAATTCTGGGAATTTTTGGGTGTCCAGAGATGTTTTTGGGGTGTGTATCAAAAGCTAATCACCCTTATATACGTAGGGATGAATGCTTTATTGGGTGTCCACAGATACACTATTTAATGAATGCTTTATTGGGTACTAATAATTTGGAATTTGTTAAATGGTGAAATGGTTAAGAGTGGTGATTAGATGGGGATGCTGTCCTTAATGTTGAACAACTGCTTATGAATGGAGCCTTGTATGTTGGTCAAACTGTGTAAATGTTATTATTATGTTATATATCCAGAGTGCTTGCCTATGTAGCTCATGTCTATGAGTCTAGCTATTTTCGTTGTCATAATACATTTCAGATTTAAGCATTTTGTTTCTTGAAACATTATTACTAGTTGTGGGTTCTGTTCTCTAGCCCAATGTGTGATCTGTAATTTCCAGATACAATGTGCAGGTTTGCTTAAAATAGATACGAGAATGTAAGTGTAGGTGGGTGTGGGTAGTGGGGGATCTTTGGTGGTTGACATTTGGCTTCTATTTGAAGTGGTTTATTCTTTGAGTAATGATGCTTGCAACTTCTGTAAGAGTACAGTGCCCTGCATCTAAAATCAGTATCTACAAAAAAAATTGATTAGAGTCTCTAACTTGATTTGTAGGAGGAAGAGAAACTAGAAGAGGTACCTGAAATTACCCACAGAGTATACCTGGATATTGATATTGAGGGACAGCACTTAGGTATAGCTTCATGTCAATACTATTACATGAACCACTACAGGCCAAAAGTTAACAAAGAGGAAGCTCACAGCCCAGATGATGTTCTAGTGAAAAAGGTGCAAAGAAGAAGGGATCAAATTCTGGTGAAAAAGGTTCTAGTGGTAGTCAAAGTAGTGAAGGTGGGCATGGTAGGCAGGAAGTGAACATTGAGAAGCAACCATTGCTGAGGTTCATAGTGATGGGAAGGAAATCCTGTACAATAAACATTATGTATTATTTTTCCTCTAAAATCTTTTCTATATGACCCAAAATTCTATGAAGTTTGTATGAGGTTCTGCATTATTAACATCATTGTGCATTCTTCATCATGTTCTGACATGGAGAGAGCTTATTTGAAAGTATGCAGCATGATTAATGCCTTCGTGGCTTGAAATGCAAGTAATATTTTCATTGAATATAATACTTCAACACCATAGGAGGGCAGAGATGCCAAATATCAGAATAAGTTCAAATACCAAGACAGGACAAACATAACAAACGTTCTAAATCAAAACAGAGTTGTAACAAATTATGGAACCCTTGTTAATTGAGAGCTGAACAACCCAAATTCAACATTATGACGCTTGGTGACTCTTGTCAATTGAAAAAGGTGGATCTACTTCAACATTATAACTCTTGGCCCCGGCACTTGTGAATTGAGAGCTAAACAACCCACATTCTCCTTCCAATGGTGATTGTGCCTACACTCATACAATATATATATGTCAAAAGAGCGAAATATACTCAATCAAGTAAATAATTATGATTAAGAAAAGTTTTAACTAAATGCAATGAAGTACCTGCAACAAGTTGACCATGCTAACTGGAAATTCCATGCTTAAATTATTGACAGCAACAAGTTCCTACAATTTTTTGGGTTCAACCAATACAGTAAGAAAAATACAATGAAGCTACAGGGTAATAAACAAAAAAAAGATGAAATTAATAACGAATTTATACAATACCTGTGAAAATTCTGATAGAGGTGTTGGAACAACTTTCGTAGTAGGAACACATATTGAATCAACACTGCTTGAATGTTGCAATTCTGTTTTTCGAGTTCTTCTCTTCTTTGTCAGCTTCTCCAAAACATACTACATCACCAAAATAATCATAATCTACCATCATCCTCGTATCAGCCCAAAAAATATTAGTGATCAAATCATCTTCATCCACTTGTATAGCATAAAAAAAATTAGGATCATTCAATTGCATTTGTTGCAGATACTCTAACACACCACCTGTATCTCCTAACTTCATTTCTCTTGTTCGTTTTGAATGTAAGTAGTTCTTGTAATCATCAGGAATAAATCCAAGACTTTCCCGACCACCAGCTTGTCTACTTAAAAATTCAAGAGTTGCTTTGGGAGCAATTCCTGAACTATCAGCCATATCAACTTCAGCTATTTGTGCAAGAGTGATCTTCCTATGAGACCTAAACAAATGAGTCTTAGACGGACTTGTAGTCACATGGTTATGCTCAGAAACAAATTCTATGACACGATACTTCTCATTCAAATGACAACTAATTTTCATTCTTGCTAAGCATCCACATCTTGTCTCAGCACGATGATATTTCACATTAGAAACACGCTTATCAATTTCACGCTTACCTTCAACGAAGCAAACAAAAAGCCTGTCTCTCAACTGGCCACTTTTGAATTTGTGACAGCTACTTCTTCTAATACTAAAACCAATATTGTATGCATATGCATTGTAAAATTTAAATGCTAAGTCTTCTGTCTCAAACTCCATCCCAATCACAGGAATTAGTTGTTTTTGAATGCTAGAATGAACCAAATCTATTTTTTCATTACCTTTCATAGCTTGTGATGACTTTTCGTTGCTTTCACCTTCTGAAATGTTCAAGCCAGGGCTTGTTTCACCTTCTCCATCTTCCATGCAATTATTTTCCATATTCATATCCTTCAAAAATTGAATCAAACAAAATTTATACATCTAAAATATCTTCCACATAACAATAAAAAATTACAATTAATTCAATAAAAATTAAATAGAGCTAAGTACTGTACAATCATATGTTCATATTAGTTACTGATGAAACTAGAAAATGGACGTAGATGAAAACCAAGACATCGGAAAAACAGTGTTTGAAGAAAAATTAATATATTTTATATTAGTTGTTACTGTAGATGAAAATGAAAAGTCATCACAAGATTGAAACCAAATGAATTTGATTCAAATGAATGCATATTGGGTATATGATTGTCGCAAGTTATATATTTATAAGTTTTTCATAAGATGCTCAAAAACCAGCAATCAAAAAGCAGAAGAAAAAAACATGAAGAGCAGAGTGTGCTTACCTGATGAACCAAGAGCCAACAAGCGAACTAGAAAAACAAACCATATGCAGGGCTGCGTTTCGTGGAGCGGAGAAGATGAAGTGGCTGAGTTTTGCAGTGTTTTTACGTCTGTAGGGGTTGAAGTGTAGCGTAGATGATGAAACTGCCTACAGTGTTTTTATCAAACATGTATTCTAATATAATATATATTAATTGTTTTAATTAAAGAAAAAAATACTAAAAGAGAGTTAACAGAGTTAAACTCCTGTTAAGTTTTGTGCCACATGTCACAAAACTAAGGAGGAAACATGGGGGCACAGGAACTTTGGTAACAGGAAAACCGGACTCATATATATGGGGGTATTACTACTAGTGTGGTGATCACATTATACTAATTCGGCCTACTAATTCTGATAAAAAGATGATAAAACAAAGTCAAATCTTTTTCTTTTGTTGTTGGAATAAGCCACATTATAGTTAGTGACCAAAACTCTGAATTAATTAATTAAAATGATAGGACCTTATTCATTAATACACCACTAAAAGGCATCCACATTCAAACATGAGTACTTACATAATAATATTAGCTTTTTTTAAAATAAAAAAAATATAAAAAAATTCATCGTCAACCACAAGAAAAAAAATGTTTTTGAATAGGTAGCTAGACAATGAGAATAGGAGAGAGAGAAATTAAAGAGGTATCGTGTGGTGGGAAAATGCAAATTGTTGTGAGCAGGATACTTCCAACATAAATACAGACATGTTTGATTAATAATGATGGACTAATAACAAGCATTCGGCGGTGGGATTGGACAATTATCAAAGACAGAGAGAGAGAGAGATTTTCCGTGATCTCCGCTGACTAACTTAATCTATATATATATCTCCAAATTAAGGGAGTAAAATTTATATAAATAGAGTTAATAGGAGACTCAAAAGATAAATTATTAATAATTAAGAGATGGATAAATATATAATTAAGAGATGCATGATGCAATATCCACCGTCCACAAAGATCCGCGTATCCGCCGACAGTCGACCTTTGTTTAATTTTTGGTCCTAGATACAAACCACAAACAAAGCAAGCTGTTGTGTTGTTGATAAAGGAATTATAAAGCAAATGAGGACTTGAACAAATTTCATGATGATTTTTGGGTTTGTCAGCTTCCCTCTTTTGATATCTAACCCTATATGGAATGTGGTCTCAACTCGGTCGCCTTTGCCATTTGCCTTGTCATAGGACCACAAGATTGATCACCATCCGTTCTTTTTTAACAAAATTTTGTCCTTTCAACGTAATATCTTCGCAAGCAAGGTGATTAAGAACAGTTACTCCTCTATCACGTGTATTAAAAACAAAATCTTTATATGAAAACGTTATCATGAACATAAGGTGCTTGGAGCTGCCGAGTCTATCGTCTAATTGGTGAAAAAAATGCAAATAATACACGTATTAAGTTGAGTCAAAAGCGTTCTTAGAGGGAAGGATCGAGATGATATGTTGATTGATCGATGATAATGATATTGAGGGAGGGTGGTGGTGACAATGACAACGATGGTTAGGAGTCGGTTGGACCACACACAACAAAAGCAATGAATTACAAAATAATCACTGATGTGAAGTTCAAGAGAGGATTTGAGATAATATTATATATATGTCTTATAGTCGCGACGATATTTAAATTATTAAAAGAAATCCCATTCGGATGCATTTTAGGTCTTGCAGAGTCCAGAAGATCCCCAAAGAAATTTAGTGGGTAAGGAAACTTGGAAAATGATGCCCATTCATTGTACTTGAGAGGTCACTAAAAGGGGAAAGTTTGTTTATTAATTAAAAAGAAAAAGATGAAGACGAAGAAGAAGAAGAAATGAAGGAATGCGTCACTAGTTTTGCTAAGAGCATCCGCAATGATGCTCTCTATTTCTTAGCTAAAATTTAGCTAAAAATATAAGAAAGCTATTCTAGGAGCTCTCTAAAAAATTTCAACTCCAACCATACTCCCTAATTTGGAGAGTCATAAATGCTATAACTCTTTTTTGATTGGTCAATCTCTATTAAAAAATAAAAATAAAAATAATTAGCATTAAATGAAGGTTTGAAATACTCATTAAATTATAGGGAGCCACTAGGAGTCCTTTCTCTCTCCTCAGATTTAGGAGCTCCTAGAGGACTCCCTATTTTAGGAGAAAGGTTTGAAATACTCATTAAATTATAAGGAGCCACTAGGAGTCCTTTCTCTCTCCTCAGATTTAGGAGCTCCTAGAGGACTCCCTATTTTAAGAGGTAGATAGAGAGCATGGTTGGAGTTGCATTTTTACAATGCCTCCCTAAAATTTGTCTAAGGAGGTGGTTTAGGGAGCCCATTGCGGATGCTCTAAGTAAAGAAATCATCCTAATCTGTCACCTCAAAAGTGTAGGCAGACAACCTTGCCGATCGATCAACATTTAGGACTAAAAAACGTGTGCCCGCTACCCACCATCAGAACAATACAACAATAGGGTTTTATTCAACCTATAAATAACACCATTGACACGTATATGTTCATACAATTCATTATGAAAAGGGCACTTTTACCTTTACCCATCAAGGTGTGACTCAAGTTTATGTCCTTCCAAGAGTTTGAACACCAATTTTACCTATTACTAGGCTACGAGGAATCCTATCCTAGCATTTTACGCGTTCAAGGATTATTGTGAGTCGTTAATGTATGTGAGTTTGTTTTTAAAATTTTGTGAAGAATCTAAACGGCTAATCGATAGGTTCATGCACTCACTCTCATCCTCTGGGATGTGGCTTTAGCCTTAGGCAAAAATATACATATAGTGTTTATTCTCCAGTAAATATTTAAATTAAGGATTTGTTATATATTTCTAATCTCAATTGTTAAATTGCATTCATTAGATGTGTTAGTAGATTTAATATGTAATACACATGAAATCCAACAATTGTGGCTAATCGATAGGTTCATGCACTCACTCTCATCCTCTGGGATGTGGCTTTAGCCTTAGGCAAAAAAATATACATATAGTGTTTATTCTCCAGTAAATATTTAAATTAAGGATTTGTTATATATTTCTAATCTCAATTGTTAAATTGCATTCATTAGATGTGTTAGTAGATTTAATATGTAATACACATGAAATCCAACAATTGAGAATCTCGAGATTAGAAATATGAAATCAATCTTTAACATAAAATACTTATTGGAGAATTTTCCCACTACCAATGTGTTGTGTGGTAGTGTTGTGGGGATCTCATCTGAGTAGACCTACTGAGAAGTCTGAGGTGAGTTGTCTGGGATACTTTGATTAAGGTGGGTGGGCAGAGACCGGGTCAAACTGACGAATTAAGATCCAAAGGCTGGTCATATTGTCGTCCATTTCCTAAATTTTGAATTTGGTGAGATTTGTATGTCGATGGTGGTGGGCGCATAATGAAGAGGCAAAGACAAGCAAGCAAACTACATGGATTCCACTGGCAAAATGATTTAACGAAAAAGGACAAACCTCGCTCTTTATAGTTCTATCAACAACTTAAAAGCACACTGTATGCAACTACCAAAAAAGAAAAAAGAAAAAAAAAGGAACAGCATAACATCAAAGTCAACTTGCAGAAGCACTAAAACATTGTAAAGAACACCACGTTGGGTATGACAGTGAATCTCCCTTCATCTAAAATGATATCAAATACGAGACTCTAAAGAATTTGTATTACTGCAGGCTGAAAAGTGTGACCCAGCATAAAAAACTGTACTAAAAAATATCTTAAAAGACTAGCGTACCTCCGATTGTGTCTCTGAATTTACATGTTTATCACATCGAATACCTCGAAAGAACAATTCTCCGCCAGAAAATTGCTTGCCCAAGCAAACATTCAAGGTGACTTCTGAGTCATCCACATGAAAACCTACAATATAAAGCTACCGTGGGTTCATAAAAACTTAAAAAGCCGTAAATTTAGAGCCCAGGGCTTCAAGATGAAGACAGACAGAGGAAGTAACAGACATACATTACTGAACAAATTGAACGCAATTATGAAATATAAATAAGGAGAAATCATATCAGCTAAACCAAGATTCAAAACTGTTGTAAGAAAAAAAAATGATAGTAAGTAGAAATAACTCAAGATGCAACATAGTACATTATTGTGTCTTTAGATATTAAAGCCTCAGTGTTATGCTGCAGTCTAGAGCATAACTCCCTGGAGTAAGAAAATAGAAAGAGTGGAAATGGTATAAAGAAAGAGAGAGAGAGAGAGAGAGAGAGAGAGAGGGGCTTCAAATACAAATTTCATTTTAAAAAACTAAATCCAAAACTTTCAGATGGATATATACCAAGCTCTGCATCCTTATCAGTTCCATATTCAACAACAAAACCATGATGAGAATCCAGCGTGGATCCACCAACTTCGGGGAAGAAAACTACATAAATACCAACCAAAAAAATGAGGTGTAACATTAGTCCTAATGTTTCATATGTAGTGTTTTTTCGTTTTCTAATTATGATTTTACAATATTAGAGATGAAATACCTCTAGACATAGGGCGTATAAAGTCCTCCATCAACTTGTCAAGCATGGTTTCTAGGCCAAAGTCATCAAGAACACAACCGTATCTATTCATTGTGTTTGGTCGCATGATTCTGAAATTTGTCTCAATGACCCACCTTTCAAAAGTTTCCACCTAAGCAATCAGAATATGATAAGAAAACAGAAAAGATAGTATACAGGAAAAATTCATTTACATAAAAAATGATACCTCGGATAATAACAATTCACAGAAGTACGGCTGAAGCATTTCAAATGTATAAATTCCAGGAGCGGGTTCAGCCATTATACTTCTAAAGCTATCCTCTGTATTCTCATTGATTGCTTTGAGAAATGAGGGGACAAAGAACTGTGCAGCTTGCATAGTGTATAACTCCTTGTGTACAGGCTACAAAGAGGAAGGAACAATAAAGAAGGAAATTTATGTATGTATGCATGGAAGTCAATGCATGCAATATTATGTCTTATGCAGAAAACTCAAGCTCACATTTCCAGAAGTACAAAGAGAAGAGACTGAACTTTAATCACTGCAACACTCAAACATAAAGGTGTTGTTTACATATTATAGCATGTTTCAAAAAGTCAACAGCATGTTAGCCATTAAACGCACCTGATAGTGTGAGATGATCTTCTGCCTGTATTCTCTATGTCGTTGAACCTGTTTATTCGAACAGAGAAAAAGTATGAGCCTCCCAGGAACATAATGACGTTACTTTGATCAATTAGCCAGAGCACATTGCCCCTGGTGTTCAGAACTATATATTATTTATAGAGCTTATCTCCTTCAGCTACACACAGAAATAAAATCCCCATCAAAAACCAAAATTTAAGACAAGAATGGAGCTTCATATACTCACAAATCCCCAAAATCCCATGTCTATCAAAATCTTCATTTCGTATTCTTATCTTTTCTCCCAATTTCTCATCGTTTCTGAAGAATTAAAAAAGAGGGCACATTCTGTCGTGATTGCAAGTGCAGCCCGCTCATTTCACACACTAAACATATCCACACAATTAAAAATGAAAGAACACGGAATCCGAAACTTCCACAATTCACGTTCAATTTCAGTTTCCAGCATTTACCAAACAGAGAGAGAGAGAAGAGAATTGCCATTTTCTTACACGAGTGCGCTCACTCTCGGACGAGTAGCGTAGGAGAATGTCTCTCATGTACTGGAGCTTGAGGTCACGTGACCCATTGAGCATGGTGGGAGGCAAGTAGCGCTCCAGCGAGCTGAAGAGCAAGGGACTAAACTCCAATTGATGAAGGTCGTCGTAGCTGTCAGGCTTGTGCTCCTTATTAGGGTTCAGTCTCAGCCTGTTCGTCAAGCTCATCGAAGAAATGCCGCAGTTCCCGTTGCCTGTGCTCGGCGTCTGAGTCTGAGGCGGTTGCTTTCTTCGCTCGGCTGAGCCGTCTATAGACATGGTCTTGGACACTTAGAGAGAGATTGTGGATTTCCAAAGAGGTAGGGCGAGTGAATTGGTGGAATTTGTTAGGGTTTTGAAGAATTGAAAATGAAGAAGAAGAAGTTTGAGCAGCAGGTTAGGGTTTGGGTTCCTGTGGTTCTTTTTTTTTTTTTTTTTTGGGCCTGATTCCTGTGGTTCGTTGGTTAACACTTAACAGTGGACGTGTGAGCTGGATCTGGATGTAGGGTCCACCCAGCTCCGAGGGCTATGACGTGGACGGATTTTATTAGAGTGTGGGGACGCTTTATCCACATATTTTCCACATATTTTCAAGTAGTCGGATTAATTCATTCTACAATTTTCTAAAGATATAAAGATATATAATTCTGCGCAACTGTGAGTTATGTTAGTTGACTAAGAGCATTTCCAAGGGAGATGTCAAATACCAAACATCAAATTTAAATTTGATGGCTGATGTGGCAATTTGACATCTTACATAGCTTTACACTCCACTCGATATGTCAAATTAAATTATTATTTTATTATATTTTAGTGTTAATTTATTTTTAATTAAAAAGAATAGAAAAGAAAAAATAATAAAATATTCATTTGACATCTTGCTTTTGGAATGTCAAAAATAACATCTCAATCTTCAGCCTTCATTCCACATCAGTTTTGACACATCGGTTGGAGTGTGTGAGATGTTATTTCTAGCTGTTAAATGTCTATGTGGCACTTTTGACAAATCGATTGGAGATGCTCTAAAGTATTGAGCAGTCCCTTTATTTGAAATTTGAACCTGACCCTGCGCGTTAGAATGATTTAAAATATTGCTCTTGTTAATAAACAAAAAAAGATATATAAGTTTACAAGGAGTTTGTAGCTTTAACTATATTAAGATAAGACTGGTTACTGCTGCATTGATGCCACTTATTCGATTTTTCTCCCCCTCAATATCATTTTATATATTAAGAAGTACAATATTCTTTTATCAACTTGAAATATATGTAATTACAATGTTTTGATTCAATTTTTAGATTAATGCAATACAAAATGGGTGCTCCGACAAAAAAAAAAGTGTAGCATGGATCATGCATCAAATTCATTTTGTGTTAAGGGTTATTAGGAAACTTTACAGATAAAGCCAACTCGTTAAAAAAAATCATTGGCTAAAACCTTAAAGCGAACAGTTAATTAATGGACGGTTAATTTTGTTTTGGCAAACAACACACTTTCATTATATAAGAAAACAATGAAGACTGGAACATGAGGCTGATTTTCTTTTCTTCCCATTTCTTTCTCCTAAAAGGTAAAAGGGAAACAAAAACGACGACAAAATGGTATACCTTCTATGTTGGTAATTACACGATTGCACAAGCCCGGCCTATGTACATCGCCTTGTTCTCCCTGAATCTCACCTGCTCTGTTGACTCATGACTGAACTACTGACCAAAAGAAAAAGACTCATGACTGAACTACACCACTACACTACCCTCCCTAGCTAGAAAAACAACACTCATGGAGCTTCAGTTTTGATACTTTCCACAGACCCATGAGTCTGAGAGCTCATCTCTGGACTTCCATGACCCACAGTTCCATTCACCTGATGTGGTGCTGGCGCTGGGCTCAGTTGCTGGCTCACCTGAGACTCTTGGTCAAATTGTTGAGGAAGGCTAACCTGACTCTGAGATGAACTTACATGCTGGAGCAATGGCTGCACCATATCTTTTTGTAGTTGCTGGATTGGTTGATGCACCTGTGGTTGTAGCTGCTGCTCCTTGCTTAATTTACTAGCCAGGTTTGGAATATTTGATATGTCCATTGGAACCCCATGACCTGTCTTTTTTTGAACTGGAGCCCCACTCATCAAGGCTTTCGTCCCTTGGCCTTCTGCCGCCCTCAACTTACTCAAAAGCCCCGTTGAACGATCAGACATCAGACTGGGAAGCGGCTTGCTGTCATTTAAACCAGATGTTCCACAACCAAGATTGTTAAACTGGCCTAAATTTCCAGCCCGGGGCATCCGTCCTCCCAATGCCCTAGGGGGAGTGGAGGACCTCATGCCTGTGACATTACCAAATGAACCAAGACCAGCATTTCCAAGCCCCTGGACTCTACCACCCTGCTCAGTCATACCACCACCTGCACTTGTACCCAATCCTCCAAGTTCCAATCTGCTCTGTCTGATTTCATTTTGTTGTAGTTTTCTTTGTCGCATCTGATACACTAAATAGGCACGCCTATTCAGAAGCTCCTGGACTTGCGGCATCATGCAATTGGTTTGTGCGGCAATGGTGAGCGGTAGTTTGGATACACAACTATTTGCAAATTGTGGAGCTGCCCATATGTTTTCAGAATGGAGCGATTGGCCCCCAGAGAAAATGTTCAGTGATGGGAGTTGCATGGATATGGGACTGAGTCTTGAAGGTGATATCCCTGGGGTTAGAGTTGAAGAAGGTAGCTCGAATGTTTGAGCTGATGGAGTGCCAATTCTAATACTAGCACTACGCTGATTGCTCAAGCCACCATCAGCCTTGAGAGTTGTAGGCTCTACGTGATCACTAGATATGTAGTATCCCTCACGCTTCATCTGTACAAAAGAAAGAAAGAAAGAAAAAAAAAAGGGAGTAAATAGCTAAGTATCACTTAATGCTGTGAGAACCAAACCTAATTCATAAAAATTCCCCAACAGTTACAAACCTACCAATGTAGTGAACTCAGTAGCCAAAAGGTCTGCAGAATTCTGAAAAGCACATATACACAAAGGTCAGAACAATATATTTAACTCAGATACACGATAATGTAAATTGAGTTCCTTTTGCTTTTCTTATTATTTATAGTTCTCTGACGGAGGCTGGATATATTTATTGTTTGTTTCACAATATACAAAAGTTTGTATAAACTATTAGGCCCCTGTGATTCTCCTTTTCCTAGTTATTAAGTTTTGAAATTACAAGAGTAATAGCAGAATAAACTAAGAGTTGAAAGCCAGTTTGCCGCATGAAAAATTTGGAATAAGGAAAGTGTGACATTAATGTGAGCAATCCAAGGGACGAAAGCCAGTGGTAAGAATGTCGAAAAGTAGAGAACAAATAAAGACAAGGGACACCACAATTCAGAAGTTGTCCATAAAATATATGAGAAACAGCTCAGTAGTTACTTGCAATAAAGAAATGATCAGTAAATCACTGGCTTTACAATATAAAATAGACCACAGTGTAATTTAATTTTTATAAGCACAAAATAGATGTGAAGGGAATGAAAGAGATTTATTGCATTCCAGAATCCAAAAGGAATATCACAATCATATATCAGAAGAAGAAACTCTCAATAATCGCAAATGGCAACTCACAGTGCTAGTAAAGGCTGGTAGGAGAGGATAATCGATTGAAAACATCTCTTTTTCGATAGGAACTGTGACGCTTGCTTCGACACTTCCCTCATTAAGCTTCTCTGATATGACCAGTCTGACCTGAGCCTTTCTATCAACGATGGGAATCCCATTTTCTAGGATGGCATAGAATTACTCAGAAAGAGCAGAAAGGTAGCAATGAGGAGTGAAAAATTACATACGATGTCTGTGCATATATATGCACATATATGTGTATAAAACACACACACACTAACACATAGGATACAAAAATTAGCAGTTCCTCACCTTGACAGATGTGAGACTGACGTAGAAAAGTCAATACCCTCCTATTCATACTGAGTCCCCAGTCCATGGAGCATTCTGTGAGAGAATTTTTATCTGTGGAAGTATTATCCCAGTTCTGATTATCTTTTGAAGATAAGAGTTGGAAAGCAACCAATTTAGTAATGGGAAAAGAGGGTCTCCTTTGCATAGTTGTGTCCAATTTACACTTCCTGTTATGTAGTCCATACCTGAATGCATTAAAAGCATTACACATCATAACAAGCAAGACTGTAGAAATAGAAGCATTGCAGTATAACTCACATGACTTTAACTATGATATTACCTCTCAGTTACCGCTTGAATCTTCAAAAACCTCTCAAGGACAGATTCAACTTTAAGTTCTGATGGTTGTGAGATATTGCTCGTGCTAGCACTAGAATCAACAGCCTTTTTTCTAGAGCGTTTAGGACCAGGGTTTGTTTTTTGCTTTGCAGGAATAGATACCTCTTTGGGCAGAGAAATGTTTGGTGAACTTGCAGATCCACATCTTCCATGAGTCGTAACCTGACATTTCTCCAAATCCTTCCTCATGTGAGTGACACTTCTGTTTTGTATATTTTTGTCAACAGGTTGAACCATGTACTTCCATGATGTATCAGCAGGTATATTGTCTCCAAATTGAGTTGGTGACTGTTGATTCTGTGATTGCGCGAGACTAGAATGAACAAGCATCCTGTCCATCACAAAGTGTTCATCTTTAATCTTTCCAAAATATGAACTGAGGAAATTATTTTTGTCAGGCTCTAACTTAACATTAGAAGTAGCCATTCCAGCCTGCAGCTCTGAGATTCCTTGAAACCTTCTTGTCTGGTCATTATTTATCACCCGCGAGGGACGCACTTTCTCCTGAGATCTTTCATGTGGAACTTTTCCATCCCCTATCCGCTGAGGCAACAGCTTGCTCTTCCACTGTAGATAAGGTAGAAGACTGTTTCCAGTTTGGCTTCCAGTAAGCTGTTCATAAGATGAGTCGATAGGCTCTTGCTTGGGTTTCTTAAGAAGCGGTCCTTGAACTGCTTGTGAATCACATCTAACTATCTCACCAAGAACCGATGCACTGGGTTTATTCAAATCATTACTAGAGTCATTAAGGCTGCGTTTGGGTAAAGAGACAAAATTAGATGTGGTCATCACTGTTAAAGAAGACTGGTTGCAACTGTCTGCTACTTTAGATATAGGCTTCGATGTCAAAGGATTGGATACTGAGTTCTCCAGTAGAACGTTGTTTTCTTGTGGATTGACAGCAGAGGTTGATACATTGTGCTCCGAAAATGTAACTCCTTTTTCTTGATACGATAGACCAAATAGAGAGCTGCAACTCTGAGTTGCACAATTAACAGGAATGCCTGTTAAATGAGATGAGTTGCTGAAATCTAGGTCAGTGTTTGATGCGTTACTCAGCTTTCGCTTTTTCCAGCTCCACATAATTCCAAGATCAACCTACCACAAAATGTTAAGAATTAGCTAACCTGCAA